ACCATTATATAATCTGATATTAGGTAATCACGGTATAAGGTAATCCTGTTATAGTAATCCCGATAAAGGTAATCACCTCTCTTATAAGATTAAATCGGTTTCCAAACTGAAGAAAAATAACATCCTCTTATAAAGTTGTCCTGATATAGTAATCACAGTACTAAGGTAATCCTGATATTAGCGTAATCACAAATATAAAGGTAATCTGTTATGAGTAGGAGAATTCTGTTATAAAATGTCCTGTTATAAGTATCCCTGTTATAAAGTAATCTTATAACAGGATTACCTTATATCAGGATTACTATATAACAGGATTACCTTATATCAGGATTACCTTATAACAGGATTACCTTATATCAGGATTACTATATATCAGGATTACCTTATAACAGGATTACCTAATATCAGGATTACTATATATCAGGATTACTATATATCAGGATTACCTTATAACAGGATTACCTAATATCAGGATTACTATATAACAGGATTACCTTATATCAAGATTACCTTATAACAGGATTACCTTATAACAGGAATACCTTATATCAGGATTAATATATATCAGGATTACCTTATAACAGGATTACCTAATATCAGGATTACTATATAACAGGATTACCTTATATCAGGATAACCTTATAACAGGATTACCTAATATCAGTATTACTATATATCAGTATTACCTTATAACAGGATTACTTAATATCAGGATTACTATATAACAGGATACATTTGAAATGATTTAAAAGTTTTAGAATTATTAAAACAATTAAAAAACCAAAATGAACATTAAGTAGACTAATCTAGATTAAATAAGTGATGACAAATCTTATGGTATAAGTTTCAAGATGATCCAATGAGTATTGAGTGTGTTATTAAAAAAACAAAATTTAACACTTGTATATGACAATTATATTTGTACATTTGAAATGATGACATTAATTTATTTAATAAAACAATTAAAAAACCAAAAGGAACATTAGGTAAACTAATCTAGATTAAATAAGTGATGACAAATCTCATGGTATAAGTTTCAAGATAATCCAATTAGTATTGAGTGTATTATTAAAAAATCAAAATTTAACATTTGTATAGGACAATTAAATTCGTACATTTGAAATGATAACTTTAATTTAATTAGTAAAACAATTAAAAAACCAAAAGGAACATTAGGTAAACTAATCTAGATTAAATAAGTGATGACAAATCTTATGGTATAAGTTTCAAGATGATCCAATGAGTATTGAGTGTGTTATTAAAAAAACAAAATTTAACATTTGTATATGCGTATAATACTAGTACATTTGAAATGATTTAAAAGTTTTAGAATTATTAAAACAATTAAAAAACCAAAATGAACATTAAGTAGACTAATCTAGATTAAATAAGTGATGACAAATTTCATGGTATAAGTTTCAAGATGATAAAATGAGTATTGAGTGTGTTATTAAAAAAAAATTTTATATCTAAATATATAAATATAAATTTATATAGATTTATATTTTTATAGTAGCAATATTCATTATTCAAATATGTGTATAAATTTGATTGCAGGAATACGTTATTGTAGTCTTGGAGAATACTAGGTATATACACTATATACAGTCTATCATTTTTTATAATACTAGGTATATTTATATGATATGTAATATATTTATACGCTGTTATTAAAAACCAAAGATAATTTCTGGCATTTCTGGTAAAACAAATATGTATTTGTTCTAATAATTGTTCTATTATGTATTATTTTTATTAACATTACTGAAGTGTGTAGTCCGGTATAATAGGACATGCCATTCGTCGCAATGTGTAGGTAGATACTTGTACTCACAGTGTGGTCGCTCAATCCTGTTTTAGATCTCTTTATTCTATTAATAACCTTTTAAATAAGTAAGACTTTATTATGTGTAAATAACGACTGTTTTTATTGCTATTTATTGGATGTTAAAAGACATTTTAAATTAATAATAATTATTTTTGATACCTTGGACTTTTTCAATAAATAATTATAGGAAATACCTTAGTATAATATTGATTTCTTTAAAAAAATATCTACATAAACTTAAAGATTGTTACGTATTATAGCTTGTATGGCATATAATATCTTAATATATTATATAATTCTTCCATTTATTTATTGTTATTGTATAATTTCTACATAACTTTCGTTTTCAATAAAAGTTATGCCAATAAATTCTTTGAGACTTAAAAGGTGTTTATATAGTTAATTATATCAACCCCTAGAGGTTGCTATAGAGTGGCTTATACATGAATTTAGCATGATTTTCCACACGAAAATCAAATATTTGTTGTTTATTTAAATGATTGCCATTGGTTATAGATCATATATTACTTCATAATTATTAATAGGAAATATGGGTATATACAGTTTTTATGAATATATTTTGAAACAAATATTAAAATTCAATACTTATAAATAAAATTACATTGATTTATCTAATTTTATAGTTAGCAATCATGATTTACTTTCTTAATTTTAGACATATTTTTAATGTTAACATATAAAGATTAAGTATCATAAAATTATTTATTGTAATTTCAGTGTTTATATTTGATTTATATTTATATATTTTAACGTAATTATTTTTTTTAAATTTAAAATAAAGATAATTGACTAACATAAAAATAATTTGTACTTTTCTTCTATAATTTCGCCATATATTTTTGTTTTTTTCTCTATATGTAAAATTGTAAATATAAGTTTATATGTATTATTTAAGGACAATACTATTAGATATATAAAATGTAATGAAATAAGGTTGCTTGTATAAACTATAAACTAATACGTATGACTGCCGACTGGAAACAATAGTTGTGTACTTATATCCGATTGTTGGAGGACTTGCAACGATATTAAGCTATTTGAATTTTACTCATATTATAAATTTTAATTTGTTGACCGGGTTCTGATGCATATACTTAAAGTAAATAGTAGGTATATAACGAATATGGGGGATCGTCAAATGGAAACGCAGATGGACTGTAATTTCATGGATTCTTATTTTTCTGAGCTACGATTTTATTTGAAGAAGTCATTCTGGTTTCAAACGGATCCATTTGAGTCTATTTTAAGTGAAACAGCAGCATTTTGGCGTCTAATATAATTTTTATAATTTTATTATTCTTATAAAATATAAACATAATTCCTTTTTATTATATTCCTAATTTTCTTTTTTATTTATTAGGTACTTTTATACGATACAATAAAATGTATAGTCTATGTTTACTGTTAGTGTTGACACGATGTAAAAAATATGGAGCTATAATACCAAACAAATGAATTTGTCAGATTAAAGTATAATATACTATTGTAGTTTTAAATGAATATTGCTTTTATACTGCTATAACCAATAGGTAAATAATGTGTTGTTCTTATTTAAATTTATTATACGAATATAGGAATAATTGTATATGTAATTTTTTATTTAAATATGGGAATTTTTTAGAAAATCCTCAATCTACATCGACAGAGTTCATGCATTACTATTTCATCAGCTCAAAGAGAAACATTCTCAGATTCGTTTGAGTGCACTCCGAATTTGTAATTGTCTTTTTAAGTATGTATTTGACATTTTTCATGTAGGTTTACCTTCTAAATCTACTTTTACTGTTTTTGTATGATTTATTGTTATTTTTTTTTGTGCTAGAGTCAATAGATTAGTATAGATGGACAATAATATAATTATATAATCATGTTATTTGTTTTAGGAAATTTGAACATTTTAGAAAATTAATAATCGCTAATATCTCGGTTTTTCTAAAACTCACAGTTAACACGGATACGGGACGAACGTTGCCCCCTCCTAAGAAATTCGCAACGGATTTGGAAATTTACTCCATTAGATGTATTAAGGAATGGAGTGACGAATTCGGGAAAGACTTCAAAGACGAATTTAATTTTGTGTTTAAGTATTTGAACAAGTACAAAAAAGTAGGTTACTATGATATTGTCATTTATTCTATATAATATGTATGATGTATGTTGCAACATCATTTTTGTTAAACCCTTCATTACACATAGATGCAATGTATTAGTTAATTATTACATTCTTTAACTATAATGTGTGAGGTGTGTATACAATTTCAGATTGATTTTGAATCGATGACCGTACTATCCGTTGCCAAAGCAAGGTTGCTGGAGGACAAGGAACAGAGACAGCGGCGTATTAATGAAGAAAAATTGAAAAAAATTGAGTCCGAAATAAATGGTATAGACACTATATTTATTATTTTGTAGTTAAAAATTGATTTTAGTGAACGTTTTGCACAGAACTCGAACCGGAAGTAACTATTGCGGCTAGAACCCTAGAGAGTTGCCTGGAATTGCTAATTCCCACTCCGGAAGAGTTTTTTATACCTGAAGTGGAAAAAGAAATTGTCCCTTCATCGAGCTTTTCGGAACTTTCTTCGTTGGATACTGGACGAAAAACTGCCGTCGTGATTGAGTCGAACAACGAAAATGAAAGGTGCAGAGAAACTGGCATAATCGACCCTGCAGCACACACTGTGACAGTCACGCTAAAACCGGGTGATTATTAAATTTTTCGAATTTCAAATTTGCATCTGTTGTATATACTGGTAGCGTGTATTTAATTTCCTTCTTGTATGGGTTGCTTTAGATTTTCGAAAGAGAGTGAAGAAATCTGATGACAACTTGGCTATAATTGAAAGTGCAAATGAACAAGTAAAGCTCATATCTGACAAGTATTTGCCAAAAATCAAAAAATGGTTGCAAGACATTGCAAAAATTTCGAGTAATATATATATATATATATTATAGTATAAATAAGGATATATGTGGGGTGGGATTTGTGTCATTTCTCATTTACACTCCTTAAGAATTAGTTGAATTTATTAGTACACGCATATACTTTTTTAAATTATTAACCAACAACAGCAAGTACATGTCTCTGTATTATTTGTTAACTTATAAAATAATCTATTTATTTAAATAAATAATTAAACAATTAAATAATTTATTTATTAGATTTCTTTTAAAAATATTGGGTTTCATTGAGAAGACTTGTGTGGAGACCCAGGCTTATTGAAATAGAATAAAAAGTAAACAGCGTAATTTACTTATAAACTAATACAATAAAATAATAATAAAAAAAAAAAAAAAAAATAAAAAAATAAGAATGAAAAAAATATACAAAAAGTGGGTACTGTTCTGCTGTATAGTAGTCTCAGTGGGTAACTGTAATGCATTTTTTAATTTTGAATTAAATCTTATATCATTGTATACAAATAGTAGCGTAGCAAAAATTTTTGAATGAGGGGAGTTAGGTTTAGGTATATACCAGGGATGGGTAATTCAAAACTATTAGAGCGTCACTTTTTAGAAAATTAAAATCTAGGGGTCAGACATAGAAAGTAAAAATAAAGTCATTCATAATATGTATTTTAATTAGAATTATTTTGTCTAAAAGTATTTGAACTTCATTACATTAACTGAAGTCTTATTGTTTTGAAAATTAATGGGGGGGGGGGGGGGGGTGACAACATCCAAAACTTCCCTTGGCACGTCACTGTATACGAAAAACGATTCTGAGTGGAGAGATAATGGTCAGTTATTTTGTATTATTATAAGTAAAGTTAGGATAGTATAGGATTTTGCATTTTTTTTAGAATTTACAGGATAAAGCTTTTCAAGCAAAAAATGTGATTTTATCATTTACGAGTTCAAATATATAGTTTTTTTTTAAATTTTAGGTCATTTTTTAGCTTTTAGGTCATTTTATCAATTTTACGGGCATTTTTTATACTTCATTGAAATCTGGGTAATATTTTAAAAATTTTTAAATAGATTTTTTAAATGGTCGTTATAAATTATTGTACAAACATATTAAGATACATAATTAAAATAAAATAAAATTTCTAAAAATATTTAATACATATGATATAAAATATACTCGTTGGACTAACCGATAATAAAGTTTGATTACGTGTTATCTTTATCAATTTTTTATTAATTTTAAGTTTAGTTTAAATTTAAATTTAAATTTTACAATATTATTTTATTTCAAAATATATTAATTTCAGAACAAATGAAGCTAGCCATTATACCAGAAAATGAATTTATTTGTATACTTATAAATATAAATTATTATTTATTAATTTATTAATATAATTATGTTTTTTCGTGCGTTTTATGGGGTCATTTTTTTTTTAGGTTTGTTAGGTCATTAAAATTCTATCCCTAATTATAAGTATATTTCATGATATATTTATTGATATTGTTATTAAAGTGATTAATTTTATTATTAGTAATTACTGTATTGAGTAGTTAAAGTTCATTTTTTATGAAAACATTGAATTTAAAACTGTTATCGTGCGTATACTATGATATACTTTAAAAGTTTCAAGTATCTACCGATAATATTTTTAAATTACAACAAAACAACTAAAATCGTTATTTTTCATTTAAATATCTATTTTATTCTAATTTGAATTTAAAATGTCATAAAAAACTGTTAGTTTATTCTTTAGATTTGTTTATAGTACAAAATACTTTAGAGGAACCTTGTGTTAAATTTTCAATCCTTAACTCTCTAAATTGAGCATTTTATACATTTTTAATTACCAAATTGTATTAAACAAATTAATTTTTTCAAAATTTGAACTTCTAATATTTTTAAATAAAAACTTGTATGAGAAATTTTTATACATTTTTAAACATATTGATCTAGAAAAATATATTATACTGAAACTTTTAGAAAAAAATTAAAAATTTGAAAATGGTCTATAAATAGATAATTTAAAATAGTAGAAATATTTATAACATTTTACTACGCGAAGAAAATTACTGCACAAATATTTGGTGAAAATTTCAGGTATTTATGATAATTTGTTTTTGAGTTATTCCAAAATATCGAAAAACGATTAGTTGAATAATAGTTATTTTATGTGTGATTATCCAATTTCCAATAATGTTCAAATTTGAACTTAACACGCTCATAAACTATTCTCTAGTGAACTTTTTTTTTATTTTAGATAAATATAATATAATATATACTAAATATAATTTAGTATAAAATTTAAAAAAATTGTTTTAGGAATTTCTAATTACATAATATAAACAATTTGTAAATTTTCGTGATTTTGTTAAAATTAAAATTTTAAAAATTTTATAAAAAAATGTAGTGATAATGTATTTAAGATAAATGTTTATTGGAATAAGAATAACATATGAATAACATTGTACTTTTTAAGTTTTTTCACAAAGTGAGATTTTCTCTATCGACACTCATAGAAAATAACTGAAATGATTTGTTAATTTAAAATATTTTTTGAAATAACTCCAAAAACAGTCAACAAATTTTGAAAATATTTAATGCATAGAGAGTATTAATATTTAGTGAAAATTTTAAATATTTGTAAATACATTTTATTTTTGAGTTAGATAAAAAAAAACAATATCAGTTTTTTAAATTTTGGTTTATTTTTTTTCTTAATTTTTTTTTTGTATTCCCGGTTAATTAAAAAATTTCTGAAAAAGTACTCAATGTTACAACTTGGTCCAAGTTTATACCAGATATCACACCAAAATTGAAATCGAAGTATTTTCATTGTTACAAAAGGTGATGTTTGAAATAAAAATAAAATAGGTAATAAAAAACACATATTGTAAAATTTTAATACTTTCATCGTTCAGCTCAGAATCTAAAATTAACAGAATCATGATTAATAATGTTAATTATAGAATTTATTATGAATACAACATTTTTTTTTATAACAGTCTCAGTTTACAAAGACATCTATAGCTGTTTATTATCGAGATTCAAGAACACATGTATATCCATTGTATAGTTTTGGTTTAGTTTTAATATTGTTTGTCTTTTATACATAAATAGATGGAGAACTCTTGAAACGAGTGATCGAACTCAAGCGGCATTTAACCGATCTGATAAGCCGAGAAAATAAAATTACGTATTACGGAGACAGTGATGATTGTTCCAGCGAATCGGACATGGAAGAAGTCCTTCCTAAATCTTACGCTGATGATCTATTGGCTCAATGTTTAGCTAAAACTGATAATAATGTATTTACTATTTAAAAATACTAGTATAATCTCTTTGGTGAAATCATGTCTTGTATAGATATGATATTAAAAAAAAAAAGTATGTACATAATATGTATACCTATGTTATTTTTAGACTCATAATGATGGTAGTAATTGCGCTGAGTCTGTAAAAGTTTCAAAGAGAGATGAAAATCGCAGCAGTGTTTCAACCGTGCCTAAGTTACCGTTTGACATTGATCTATATCATTGGGAAGATGAACAACTTTCGGCTCCTCGTATTTTACCGTAAATATTATCATTTATTTTTATTTAGATTTAATTTTAAAAATATTGTGTCTCGGTGACCTTAAATATTTTTTAAACTTTACCTTGTGTTAATATAATAGCATTGAAGTCTACTAACAATATTATAATACATCAGTATAGAATTTGCGTATTTCGATTATTCGAAATTACGTCGTCGGAATGGATAAAGATAATTTTCGTTTTATGGTACAAATATAATCGGAATGTCTTGTTTGTAGAATGTAAGGAAAATCCTTCAAGGAAATACTATGAAATTATGAGAATATATTATGTGGACATGAAATTATATCAAACAGTAATAGTACACAGTCCTATTCTAAAGTGAAAAAAAAAAGAAGCAAGAAAAGTCGAGTGTTATGACGAAAAAAAATAAATATAATTGTTCAAAAAATAAAATAAAATACATAAACTATAGTTTTTTGGTTCATTTAAAAAAATGACTAAAATTAAGTTGACTTATGTTTTCTTCTACGATAACATAATATTATATATTAGGCAGAGTTTGTATTTGAAAATAATTTTTTTATACGTTATTTACAGTTAAAACGTTTTACAAATTTTGCGTTTATCGTTATTTAGAGTTAAAATTTTTATTATATTTTATGGTTTATTAATTAAATAATTTAAATTAATTTTTTTTGTTTTTAATGATATAGTATATAATATAACGTTTTGCCTAATGTTTTGTTTGATGATATATCATATATTTTGTTAATCGTTATGTTTTGTTTTGTGTTATTTAATTATTTATGTTTATCGTTTTCCGTTATAATTATGTTTACAAATTTTAATCGTTTTTTTGTAAAATATAACGTTATTATAACGTTTGCAAGCTCTGATATCAAAACAAAATGATACCCGACGACCTTGTATTATTTTTTATCTGAAACACGTTTATTGGGAATAACGTTGGATTAAAGCTGTTTGTTCAATAGTTAGAGGATGTGATTTGAAAAAAAGGTCAAGGTTGAAAATATTATTATTTTGACTTCACTTAGATGTATTAAAATTTATATTTAAAGTGTTATAAATATGTAAAATATATGTTATGTTTAAGTAAATAATTTCGTTAATCAATTTCGAGTTACTGGTGTTAGTGTTAGTTTTTCTGGTGTTTGAAATTACCCTTTGATAAATAATTAATAACATATTGTCACTGCGTGTCCGACTTGTCCGAGTAATGTTTAACGAACGCGCGCAGATATTATATGGTATTAAACAATAAAATACAGAAGTATACTAAATATTTTGTATATTAATTTTCTTTCAAATGCGGTTTAGGTTTTTAAATAGTTCGAAGCACCACTAATAATTGATCATGTGTACTGATGAATTTTGTTTTTAAAACGAAATTAATTAAAAATACGCATGCGATGGGCAGTATAATTACGTGAGTGCGAGTGCCTGTTAAAGATCCGTACGAATTAAAAAAAAACCTAATAATTTATACCTAAAAATTTATATGTTACAGCCCGTACACTAGAACTAGCCAATTTTAACATCTAATGGTTTAACTGTGTGGGAAAATATTTAGTATGAAATATTGCATTAACATCGTCCATCGATGTGCTTACGAGTTATTTATAAAACAATAAATTATGATATATTGAACGTATTTTCATATACATATATAATATGTTTAATATATGCTTGTAGTTAAATGTGTTTAAAATGTATGGATGTGTTTTGGTGTTTTACATCGTTAAAAATATACACGTGCGCTCTTGAGTCGTTTTAGCAACAAGGCCATCGATTCTTAACACTGTATTTTTATCGTCTATAGTTTTTCTGTGAAAGATTCTAATAATTGTATTTTGCAGTTTGTCATTGTTTGTAGATTATATCGATTATATTATTTATATTTTATTTTACATTACATAAAATACAGCACATATTTTACACATTCGTCGTGTTATGCTTTCTTATCAATGTTGGTTATAGATATTCATTTTTTTGTAATTGTGGTATAGATTATAATACGTTAATTAAATTAATATTAATGTTCAAGTATATGCGTTTCTTACAGGTTGCACCTAATGTTAATTTTATTATACTATAATAGCTGTATAATTTGATTTTGCACAAGAAAAAATGAACAATTATAAAATATAGCATTGCATGTAGGTAAGTAGGTTGCAAGTGTATCTTAGTATTAATAAATCTCAGTTCGCGGATAAATTCGTATTGTATCTTAATTTATGAATTAATTTGACTGAGATAGGAAACTTTTAGTGAGGCGGATTGGATTAGCACTTATATTTTTTAACGTGGTATTAACTACTCACTAATTTTTCCTGATATCTCTAAGAACAATTTCTGAAATTGTTATCGAAATTGATGAATAGTTATTGAGTATTTGAGGTACCTACAATTATTATATAAAAGTCTCTTTTATTTTTGTAGACAATAGTAATCCTATGCATAAACAAAAGAAATACTAGATATTTGTAATCTAAAACGAAATACATATGTGAGCTATCTTATAACAATTTTTATAGGTTGAAAAACTAAGTTGTATGAGACTTATGTTATTCTTAAGTTCCAAGGAATATGTGTGCAAAATTTGATATCAATTTGATAAGGGGTTCCAGAAATTAAAGAGTTTTAACACAATTGTAAAATTATTTGTCTATATATACATAAAGAAGAAAGATATAATATAATAACAGACAACAAAATAAATCAGTAGTTGTCAAATAGGTTAGTTTAAATTAATTAAAATTAATTATGATAAACATTTGTCGGCCAAACAACATGCCTAGTTTTGTTGCTCTTTTAGGCATAATTAGTGACTAGTGGAATGTGTTACAAATGTTAAGATAGTCAATGTCATCTGAAATACCTATGACGAATTTCTATACTGTAGTAGTATACCTACTACTTTCCCAAAATCATCAGAGGTTCATTAACTCCTGTTTTAAAACTAATTATAAGCAAATTTTTGAGTCTCTCTTGAGAATTGAGATATGGTAGTTTGAAGCTCGGTTTTTACTGCAGTATTTATCATAGATACACAATAGGATCAGCGACACTAGTAGAATAAAGGAATTTATTTATTTTAAACTCTCCTAAAGCATGGTTATTATAATATTTGTAGTTTAATAACTAAAAGAACTAGGTCGGTTAGCCTATCTAACTTTTTTTTAAAATAGAACGATTTATGTAAAGGAGCAACGGGAGTAGTTATGATAAAAATTTTGGTTTATAACATATACTCTCACATGAAAATCGTTTTATTATTTTATGAGGTAATTTTGAAATATACCAAGGTTAAATAATTGGAAAAATTGTGAACTCAGAAGATGGAGCTACCCCGGATATGGGGTGATATAGTTGTGATTAACTTATAATTTATCATTTAAATGTTATATATATTCTTTGAAACAAATTCGCTCATTACCATCATTTTCGATAGAGGCGAAGCGTTTTACAAATGTTGATTTCTATAAATCTTTGAATTTCAATTATGTTTGCTTATGAAAATAAATATTTTATAAATTTTTATAGTACAAATCAAGATGGTCATAGTTTTTGGACTTCGAATTCTGTAATGGATACTGACTGTGATGGTATTATACAGCCAGGAGGATCTGAAATTTTACGTACTCGAGTTATTGAATTTACTGGTAAATTTGAAAGAGTTGATAGACAGTGTAGAACCCCATTGCCAAGTGGAAAATTATGCCCAAGAGAAGACCGTTTTAAGGTAAATTAAATACAACTTAAAAGTTAAAACTAAAAAGATTTAGTTATTGCATTTGTTTATTTGTATAGTGTCCGTTTCATGGACGTATTGTACCAAGAGATGAGCTCGGTCGAGTTGTCAATCCTGAAAACAAAATATCCTTAGAAAAAGAGAAGAAACAGAATGTACCTGATTGGCAAAATCCACAGTTGCTTAGAGATATACAGGTAGAATGTGTTTTGAAGTTTTGATCGAAATTATGTTTTTTTATATTAATATTGATAATTATTTATCGGTGTAGTATCAAACAGGGGTTGATCTTAAAATGCCGGAAAAAGGAAGCAGGAGGAAACGAAAACAAAATTCAAATCTGACAAGTTTAAAAAAAGAACAAGATACTCCACGCGCCCGGCTGGAAAAAAAAGTATTCAAAAAGTAAGTTTGAATTATGTTACAAATTAATAATCAGTTATTATTTATAAAATATAATTATGTAGTAATTAGTACAAGACATTAGGTATTTAGTGGTGAAGTATTAAATTTAAAATTGTGATGTATACATATTCTTTTGTAAATTTATGTTAAATGTAAAGTAATAAAAGTATTTATAGTTATGAGAATGTCAATAAAATAACTTGGAAAATGTACTGTTTGTATTGGCATTTTTTAAACAATAAAATATATAAATTAATTATTAGTGAATTACGTATTTCAATTTTATTATTGTCCTTTTAAATCATTGTTACTAATAATTATTCATATTGTAATGTTTTCAATTACAATCGTATCAAATTTAATTCGTAAAAATTAAAATCTTGTTCTTTGAATCATAATCTATACAAATTATCTACTTATCTACTTATATAATAAGAAATTATGTTTAATGATATTATTACATATATTTATACTTCTAGATCATCTGTGAAGAAAGTGGCTAACATTTTAGATGGTATAGATCAGAGGAAATTTCGAGACAAATTTGGAGATCAATTCAATTATGTTCATGATACAGCTTAATTTATTCGTCTTTTATGTTTTTTTTCTAATCATTAAGTGTTAAAATTTATAAAATAATAATTTTTAGTTAACAATTAGTAATATTAAATTATGTCAAAAATGTTTACGTACTGTATCTAAACTATTTTGTGTATTTTTGCGATAATATTATAGAAGTACAGTATAATTCTTAATATTATATGTTTGTAATTATATATATATATATATATATATATATATATATATATATATGTAGAGGGACAACTTGTCTTCTTTTAAAATAGTAGTTTCTTGTAAATAATAATTTATTAATAATTAAAATGTATAAAAGTATTTTTATCTGAATTGAAAAAAAAAATCATTTTTAATTTATTCAATTTATAATTCTAGATAAATATAAATATTATTATATTATTGTACAATGTTTTTATTTTTTGTGCTCAATGTTTATAATTATGTTATAGAACTTATGTCCGTGAATTTGAAAATAAAAAATTATTTATTTGTTTGAAAGAAAATTGAAGTATTTTGTATTGTTTATGTTATATTTTCTAAGTAGTATTAATAATTAATGAAAATAAAGATATTATAACATACTGTAGGAAATATTTAAGTATAATAATAAAAAATAAATAAATAATATTATTAAAGTTTTGGTAGATTTCTATTGGCTTCATGAACAACACGTATTATTAAAAAGGTAGGAAAATGGTTACCACTCTGCTGTATAGTAGATAAAAAGAGGTGTAGATAGATTCTGACAAAATTTAAACTTTATTTAAATGATTATAAAAATAAAAACAACTGTAACCTTAACATTTTTAAACTACATTTTCAAATCTTAGGTGTAAAATCATAAGCTTGTAACCACAAAATAATTTGTATGTTTTTGAGTTTTTATAAATTATATCAAAATTGTAATTTTAAATAAGTACTTACAACAAAAAAAAAAAAAAAATATTGTGACTAAGTTTTTTTTTTTTTTTTTAGTTGGTAAGTCGGTAAATGAATAAATTATGAGAACTTTGTATAATATTTTAAAAATCGTTGATTAACTAAACTTTTTTTTTTCAATATTTAAGAAAATAATTTGATGATATAAATTTGTTTTTGAGTTCGGTACCTCAAAAATAGAATAAAATACATTTTATTGAGTATTGGTTTTTAGAAATATTTTTTTTAAATTTTTTTTTTTTTGTTTTACTTTTTTGATTGTCTAAGTATTAACTAAAGTTAATATCCAATTTTCTATCAGAAACCATCCTTAATGTTGACAATTGAAGCATTATTAACTTCTTTAAAGGTGACGAATAACAAAAATAAAAAACGCACACATAATTAAAAATGAATACATTCATCGTTCCTCTCAGAATTTAAAAAAACCCATAATACAGAACAATTCCTATATAATATAAGGTTTTATTTATATATAAGTTACCTATATAATGCAATAATGGTACTTACTACTTAGTAAATAATCAATAACAGAAATATTTTTGTTTGGATTATTTATTTAACCTAATTTTATATATTTTGATTTTGACAAAATATAAAATATATCATGTATGTTTTGACGATTTTCTGAAATTTTTTTTTTGATATTATACTGAAAAAAGTAAAGAATACGTTTGTTTTAGATGTTGAGCGAAGTGATGAATGTATTTATTTTACCATAATGTGTTTTTTTCTGTCTTTCTAAAAATGCTTCGATTTTCAATATTGGGAGTAGTTTCTGGTATAAAATGTAATCTAGTGAGTACTTCAGGCAGTAAATAGTAAAAAACTTCAAATACTTTTATTAAAAGTCTAGAAAAATTAAAATTTAAAAGTAAAGGAAAAACGCTAATTTTTACGCTAAACTGGTTTTTGATGAAACTGATTTCTTTATTTTGTTATAATTTAAAAGCAAATAACCGTAGAAACTTGAAATTTTCATTTTTATAACTGATTCATGAAAATGTAATTAAACGTTCCTCATCAAGTAGCTTATATTGTAACTAAAATATCTAAACAAAATTATTATTTTTTTATGTATTTGCATTTCAAATTTGGACAAGAATACGTATTCATACGATGAATAACATTGTTAATTATTTGTGATTACTTATAATTCAAAAACATTTTTATTTGAAACTTAAGACTTCTATTTATGTTATGGATTTTACTATTATATATGCGATGAAATTTTCAAAATATGTAGTGTGGCGCCGTTACAGTTTTTACGAGATTAGCAGTTTGCTGTAACAACTAGTGGTGTGTTGATGGGAGGAGTAAGACCAATTAGAAAAATTTCAATACTCGCGCCATGAAAATACATTGTACAAACTTGTATTATAAATAATGATAATAAGAAATCACGTACGAGGAATTGAAATGAATAGGTATAGACTGTCTCGAAATAAAAACCAATGAAATAATAATACAGAAAGTTCTCAAACTGTGATAATACGATAATACAAAAAAAAGCCGAATTTCTTGTCGAACAGTTGGACAAGAAACTTTCCGACCGTGATATCCGTTAACGACGGCACACAGGTAACTTGAACATGGCATACACATTGTACCTACAGCTATAGCCGGTCGACAATGACAGGGAGCTTTCGAACTTGGACGAAGGGTTCACAGTGGTAAGAGAGTAACACGTGAATAACAGCGACAAACAACGTCCGGTGGCAATTATATTATATTACGTCTGGACAAGGCATCGACTTTAGCACGGGTCCGTGACAGGATGGAAACGGGCACGGCACGATCGCAATAACTGGCGAAAGAAATGGCGTTAGCTAACAAATTATATAAAAAAACAAAACTGGTCGACTAAGCAGCGGCGCTCACGACGTGAACGGGATAAAAAAGAACAACACGGCCAACACGCACAAGTGTCAACAGCACTTGTTACGCCATGACGATAAAACCACGGGGCGACGGTGATCACGTCGCACGACCGGCCGGTAGCAAATAAGAACGGAGAGCCGTCGCGGCGGCGAACCGAGAAGCTTGTGGATTTCCGGAATAGTTTGCGTCTAGAGACGGAGGAGCCAGAAAAACGCTTTACAAAAATGGTCTGTGTGCCCGACGTGTGGTTGTGAATTTTGGCCAAGATAAAAAACGGCGGAAATTTAAAACACCGGGTTCGAACACGTAGGGATTCATTTTAAGATATTATCTATTTATACTATGAACTTATCCACACTGTTTTACGGTATTCACAGTAAGATATTATTAACTCACGATTTAATAACAACAATATGATATGATATGAATGTATATTATTATTATAATAATTAAAAAAAAATTAATATAAATAAATATATTTATTATTTTTTTTTTTAAATTTTTATTATCCTACCGTAAAAAATAGAAAAAGTGAAACAAATTTTTTTAATAACTTTATCAAAAAACTTATTTTGAATTAACAAATTTAGTGAGATAGGCTAACTGACCGTCTTCACTTAAAGTCGTTTTTCATATACATTATTCACTGGTTTACGATTATCATTAAATTAAAATTTGAAAAACACATTATAGTGATTTTATTGACCTCGACACCCAATGTACAGCAGAGCGGTACCCACTTGCCAATTTTTTTTTATTGAGTACTTATTGGCTATTTTATCTTATATTTTTTTGTAAACGTGTTTTTGAGTCAATAAAGTTTAAAATCTTAGTCTTTTCATTGAAAATTTAGTTGGTGTATTTTGAATAGTTTTTCTGTTTTCCCGTGACTAGTTTCTCAAGGACAAAGAAAAATTAGAAGTAAGTGTTAAAGAAATGGCCGGTTAACAGTAAATTATGGAATATTATTATTATTAGGAATTGACATTGTTTTTGATTATTTTTAGAAACAGTAGCTAAATATATACTACAAAGTTTTTACTAGATATAACTGTATAAACTTTTATATTTGTATATATTTTTTGTATTGTTTCAGTATCACTAATCTTTTGTTTTAAATTGAGTTTAGAATTGTAAAATAGGAGTACTTATCTATAATTTATTTTAATAATACATTTATTTTGTTTTTAGATAGACTTTGTTATTTCTAAACATGTGTATTGACTGTGTAATACAGTGTAAGTATCATCTATAATCTATACATAGAGTACATTATCCTCTTATATCGTAATTCGAATGTTGTAAACTGCATGTAGGAACTAAATATTTAATCAAATAGTATTATCTACGTATTATGTATGTAAAAAATAAATAAATATATAACATGAGTGTATGATTCTATACATATAGGTACTGAATGTCTGAATGTAAATTAGGTACTGATTTTATTAATTTGGTAATATTGAGATTTCACACTATTACAGAATATTAAAGGTATACGTTTCACAAAAAATAAAACAACTACTATTTTATTTTTATGAATTTATTTAGTTTTGATTGTTTTGAGTATACTAAAGAGCCAGGGTTGGGGTTAAAGCTTTTATTAGCAATAAGCTGTTAGATAATATTTTACAGTCTATTAGGTAGGCAAGCAAAATAAAAAAGATTCGCTTATTATACTTTGTAGTTTGCTGCGGGTTCTTAAAATTTACCTATCAATTATCTAACATAACTAGTTTATTGTGAAACAGCATGTATGTGTAGGTAAAATATAAGTGACTTTGGATATACTTTTTATATTTTTCCTACTTATTATATATAAGTTTGCCAAAATATTTTGTTTTAAAATAGACGAGTAAACATTTATCTGACGGTTATGATTGACAAAATTATGGTGATTTTGTCCTTAAATTAATTGCATTTTTATTACATACACTATGTTATACAGTGACTTTATTATAATAGAATACATTAATTTATGTTACGAAGTCAATTTATCGTTCAAATACATCCTAAGTTTGGATATTAAGATATAAATATGTATATTGTAATATTAAAAAGTTTATTTGAATACTATTTACATATAAATAAGATTATAATTTTCAGTGTCCGTACTGTTGGTAATTTAAAAGTAAAATTTGTAAAAAATATTTATCGAAATATTATGCTAAAGCATACCTTGTCGACTCCACTCCTCGAAATATTATACGAAATTTATTTGACTGAATCTTTGAATTTGGTTCTCACCTGAATAAATAATCAATATATT